GATTGTTCGCTCTGATATATTCGGGCATAGGTACAGATCATAGTGAGCGGCTTAGGGCATAGGATGGTTTAGGCACAGGTGGAGTCAGGTCAGGTGACTTTACAACAATTTGACATTGAAAAGAATGTAACCGGTTCACAACATCCCTCCACTGAAAATGATGTTTTACTCGTGCGCGTGGAAACGATTGAGTCGAGAGATGTCCACATTGTGGTATGGTTGTCGAGTGGCCGACATCATATCTCGAAGGAAAAAATACATTCAGGATACGGAAGGGACCGACCCAGCGAGGAAGCAGTTTGGGTGGTGTGCTTTTGTGGGCACCAAGGCGGCCGGAGAACAGAGGATCGTGATTCAGGCGAATCACTTCCTGTTGGAGTTGGGATGGTACAACTAACAACAAACGGTTGCGCTTGGGAGAGCGAGGGTCTTGGACCACTCTGTACCAAATATTCTTCTCTTGGACAAAGTTAGCGGAAGAGTCCGTTATCACTCGCAGCAGTTGCTGGTCTTTGGTTTGTTCAGCTTCCCAGTCGATGGTCACATCGGCAGATTTGATAGCAGAGATAGTTGGAAGAGGATTGCGAGACAACATGTCGGGAACGAAGTTGGAGTTGCCTGGGATGTACTTCATGACAAAGGAGTGGCCATGCAGCTCTGAAGCCCATCTGGCCAGTCTTCCTTGTTTTTCTTCTTTTGTTCTCAGCAACCACTGCAAGGAAGAGTGATCTGTGAACACTGTGAAATGGCCATACTCTAGGAATGGTCGAAACTTCTTTATCCCCCATACGATGGCAAGTGCTTCGATTTCTTGTACTGAGTAATTTGTTCTGGTGGTGAGAGAGAACGGCTTGCAAACGACAAAGGATAAGGTGTATCTTCCACACGTTGGCAGAGGATGACTGCAATGCCTTTCTTTGAAGCGGCATCGGTGTGCAACTCGAAAGGTTTTGCGAAGTCAGGTTGCCTTAAAGTAGGTAATTTGGCCATGTCGGCGTTTAGTTGAGTGAATGCTGACATTTGTGCTTCCCCCACAGAAATTGATGATCCTTCTTCTTTAACTGTCGGGGAGGCTCTGTTTTGACGCTGTATTGAGCAAGGAATCGTTGATAGACGCCAACGGAGCCAAGGAAGGAATCAAGCTCTTTTCGGTTGGTGGGAGGAGCCATTTGCAATATTGGTGTCACTATTTCAGGGCATGCTTTGATGCCCTCGCCTGTATCGAGGAAGCCGAGGTATTGGACTTGCGATTGCGCAAATTGGCACTTGGACATTTTTACGGACAGCTTTGCCTTTCGCAGAGCCTCCAGTACCGTAGCGACATCCCGAAGGTGCTGTTCAAAATCTTTATAGAAGATTATGACGTCGTCTACATAGACAAAGGCAATCTTCCATTGAAGATCTCCCAGAACGCGGGATATAAGATTCTGGAAGACAGCTGGAGCATTCTTCAAGCCGAATGGCATGACGTTAAAAGCGAAAACTCCAGCTCTGCACGTAAGTGCTGTCTTGTGGCGGCTTTTTGGAGAAACGGGGACCTGCCAGAAACCAGACGCCAAGTCCAGGGTGGAAAATATCTTTGCTGATCCCAGCGATTGAAGGGCATCGTGCATGTTGACTGGGTTGAAGTTGATGGGCGCCGTTTTTTCATTGATACGAATGTAGTCAACAACAATGCGATGAGAGCCATCGGGTTTGAAAACCGCCATTGCTGGAGCGCCCCAAGTGGGATTGATCACTCGACTGACGATACCGTTGCGGCACATCTCGTCAACTTCAGCGTCAATCACGGCCTGTTTGGTTGGGTGATACCTGCGAGTTGGAATGAAAAAAGGCTCGGCGTCGCCTGTGTCAACTTCAAAAGCGATTAGATCAGTAACAGACGGCTTCTTTGGGTTTGCTGCAAAGACATCCTGATATTGAGAAAGGACGGACTGCAGTTGGGCTTGATGATGTTGGGATACATGCGCCTATACCGGTGCCGCTGTCAACATTGGAGAATTCCTGGCTGCGATATGGAACATCTTTGGTTCTGGTGTATAAAACGTAACGGCGTCGTCAATGGAGTCCCAACCAAGGATTAGATCATGAGATAGCTGCGGGAGAACATGCCAGGTCAAAGTGCGGTCGAAGACGCAGACTTTGGCAAAGCCTGTGGTCCTCATCACATTTCCATTCACATCTTTATACTAATAAGTGTTGGACTTATCGTATTGAATGTTGAACTGACGGAGGACGTTTTCGTTCAGCAAAGTAATATCGGCACCGGTGTCAATTAAGGTGGAAAATGGTCTGTGGTTCACTTCCAGTGAAACGATTGGAGCAGCAACATATTTTGCAGCCGTACCTGTTTCAATATATCTGATTGTATCGCAATCGGATGAGGAGTTGATGGAAGACATTAGCATTTGTTGGACCTGCGACACATTAGCGGTATGAGGCTTGAGCTTTGTTGGGTGCAACGATGCAGATTTGGTCTTGCACTGCTTGGTGCGATGCGATTGACCGCAGTAGTGGCATATGAAATTTCCCTCAGCATCTCTAGCATACTTGAAGTGTGTTGGTGCTTTTGATTTGGCGGACCTTTGTGGAACGGGTCTTGGAAATGGTGAGGATTGCGAGTATTGCTGAGTTGACGACTTGCTAAAAGTCAGTGGAGAGGAACCTATGGCAGGCTGAACATAGGGAGTCGATGACGACAATTGGAACAGTGAGCTCTGATTGCGTAAGGTAGAACCTGTGTTATGGATTGCGGAGACTTCTGGAGCCCAATCCATTGTGCCTGTTTGGCAAACCTCATTCTACGCATGAACATCCCTTTCATAGGCGATCGCCGAAGTGATCAAGGAATCCAGTGATGGCAGACGATCTTCATTACCACCGATGAGTGGGAGAAGGGCTCTCTGAAGATCACCATCGCAAAGGGATCCTATAAAAAGGCGCAACTGAGTGATGAGGTCGGGGCTTTTTCGACATAATGCTCAATAGGTATTGCTAATTGGAGGCATGGTGGCGTAAAAAGAAGCCCCGGGGAGTTGCTTCTGAGACTTTGATATAATTCAAGAGCAACTTGTCTTCCACGGAAGGGGGGTTACCGTAGCGGTCGATGATGGAGGCTTGCAATCTGACTCAATCTTCGCGGACATCATCCGGGCGGATGTCTACCCAATTAGCCATATCTAGAGGTAGATATCTGGGTAGAATGGAAGCGATGAGACGGGTAGAAACTTCAGCGCTACGGGCCTGCTTTTCGAATGCTTTCAACCAGAAGCGCAGGTTATCAGCATACTGGTAGATAGGCATGAGGATTTTGGCAGCGTCAGCATGCTGATGCCATTTCTGGATAGCAGATTGAATGGCATCGATGGAATCCGGAACAGCGTTGTCAGCACACCGTCAAGTGCGGTACGCAGGTCTTCGAAGGGAAGTTTGCGTAGGAACAGTAGGATTTTGGAGAGAGGATTTGATTCTTGAACAATGTGTTGCAACGGAGGTTGAACTGTTAGTTATGAAAAGACTTTATGGAGATATTAAAGTAGGTAGCTTCACCATGTAAGGTCACGTGAGTGCCTTATTATCGAAGAGCTGAAGAGAACTGTCTCGTAATTACCCACGTTAAAGCCACGTTGGCGGCATGACCCTTTGGAATCGTTCAAACCAACCCCTTCGACCCTTTACCAAGCCTCCATTCATGCGATTGCCTTTGCAAAGAGGTCCATTTATTACCATTTCATGACAGGATTTTTCGTCTGATCCGCCACGTGATATATAATTCTCGTTCGTACTGACCTATGTTAAAGCCCATGTTGACGGCATGAGCCTTTGGAATCTCATGGGGTAATATCGCAGACAATGAATGGAAACAAGTTTTCGAAGTTGAACTCAGACGTACGGTGCATCAATTCCTTTCCCCACCCCCTCGAAATAAAGTGACACCAGGCGCCAGCTTAATTTGAAATACTAAAGTAAAGTTTATGTTGCTAAGCTATGGATAAGACTGCATTTCTTGCCCTCTCTCTTTTCTCCCTTTCTCTCTCTCCCTGCTCTTTTCATCTCAGTTGCTACGACTTTAACATGTAGACTTTTCCTTGCGCCTAGAAACGACTATTGCCATATATGGTAATCCTTTACGAGTCACGGTTTTTGTGCTTGAGTGACGTCGCTTTATCCTCATGGGTCGGAATGACCATGTGATTCACATGTTCGTGACATTTGCCCTTTGGGTCCTTTGCTAGAACGTCTCGACCTCTCCATTAGCGCGATTGCCTTCGTAAAGAGGTCCATCTACTTTCCTTTTTGAGAACACGATTTTCTCTCTGATCCGACACGTGATAAACATTTTTGTTCGTGATGACCCATGTTAAAGTCCATGTTGGCGACATGAGCCTTTGGAATCCACTGAGCTGACCTCTTCGACCCTTTGCCAAGCCTCCATTCATGCGATTGCCTTCG